AAATCATGTGGATAAGAAATCTGTTAGGTGAACTGGGTTTTGTAGTGAGCAATCCTATGTCACTCTACTGTGACAATAAAGCTACCATCAATATTGTTGCTAATCCAGTCCTGCATGATAGGACGAAACACATTGAAGTGAACAAGCATTTTATTAGAGAGAAACTTGAAAATGGAGAAGTGTGCTCCATATGTCAGCTCAGAAGAACAACTTGTAGATATCTTTACCAAAGGTCTTCATCATGTGCGGCACAATGATTTGTGTGACAAGTTGGGCATGATTGACATCTATGCTCCAACTTGAGGGGGACTGTTGAAATATTTTAGTTATTTGTGTTAGGGTCTGTTTGGCTAGTTAAAGCGTTTTTTTTTTAATTTCTGTTATTTCTGTTATTGTACTCACTTACAGCAGGGGCACAAGGGTCTTTTCCCTTCTTATTTCTGCCGCCCTATATAATATAATAAAAGCTGGTGCTGCCAGCACTGTTCTATTGCTCCAAACTTTTTCTTCTTCCTTTCTTCCTTTTCCTTTCTCTCTTGTTTCCTTCTCTTCTCTACTTCCTCATATTTCAATCGGATTTATTGTCAAGAGATACTTTTATGGTTTATGAGCTTACTCATGTGAGCGTACAGTTCTCTTCAGGTGTATTTTATGCAAGAAATGTTCATCTCATTGTGCATTTCGTAATCATGAAAATATATACTTAACAAAATAAGGAAGAGGTTTTATCTCTGAAGTGGATGTCTGTAATTTTGTATATATGTACTTTATTACTTTATAGTTAATAAATTTTTGATTATTAATAAAAAAGTACTATTATGAATATAAGAAGAATATACAAAGAGGATGCAGTGAACAATGGGAAGCAAAAGTTGCTCATTGAGACACCAGCACCACAGCACATATAGATCCATCTTCTATCCCAGAAACCTTAGGAAGAAAAATATTAAAATAAAACCTGGTTCAGATGGATCTGAGTGTGGCTAACTGAATGGATGACAAGCAGGGATGTCAATGGGTTGGGTTAAGTGGTAAACCTGGCTTGACCCGTTGGGTTAGGGTCAGGTCTTTTTAGGTATAGGTTGGGTTAGGGTTTTGATTCTTTGACCTGAGTCAGTTTCGTGTTGGGTTCAGGTTTTGGCTAACCGCTGACCTGCCCCGTCAGGTCATGATACCCCTACAGGTATTCTTGTAATTTGTTGAATTTAACTTCATAGCCTCAAAGTTCAAAATTCCTTTTCATGTTTATTTCTTTTCTTTCAATGATGGAGAAGGTGACATCTTAGAACCTGTAAATAAATTTCCAACTTAAATTAGTGGCTTTTAGGTTCTCAAAATGTGTTAGAAAAAGTACAATTTAAAGGATGCATGTCAGGTTGGGTTGGTATTGGGTTGAACCCTATAGGTCGGGTCAGGTTCGGAAATTATATATTGTTAAATTGTGTTGGGTTGGGATACTGGAGGTGTTGGGTTAGGGTTGAGGCAAACCCTTATCGAACCCAACCCGTTGACATTCCTACTGATAAGCCTGTCATAGAGGGTCTAGAGAGGAGTGAATAGTATTGAGAAAGTCTCTCCAAATACATCTCATTGACACACCATATCATACATACATCCATCTCCTATTCTGTAAACGTTGGGAAGAGAAAAGTTAAAATTGCACCTGGTTCAGATGAATCCAGGTACAGCTAACTCAATGGCTGATACACTTTCCATAGAGGGTCTAGAGAGGAATGGATTGTATTGAAGAATTCTTCTCACAGGGTTGGGAAGGGCAAGTGAACTTCCTTGCTTCTGTCTGTCTGTCTCTCTCCCTCCCTCCCCCTCTCTCTCTCTCTCTCTCGCTCTGATTGATAACTGGTAAAAACTTCTATTAAATGAAGAAGATTAGATGCAAGAAAAGAAAGAAAGAAAGAAAGAAAGAAAGAGAGCTTGACTCTCTCCAAAAAGAAAAAAGAGAGCTAGTGCCAACATGCTAGTCTCCCCATTCAACATAGGCATTGAATCAGAATATAACTAGACCCCTACTCCAGAGGGTTAGGCACCCCAATAGAATTCTTGTCTATTGGCCCTTTCTCTAGAATGTGAATCTGTAAATGAGTTTACCCATCTGGAGGAGCTGGTCATATAAAAAAATCAAAGATTCACCTCCTAGACAAGGTGTTGTTGGTATGGCAGTTGTGTACTTTCCTGCTTCTAGTGTACAATCACTTGGGAGTTACATTTCCCTTCTATATTGGTGCATCTTCTAGAGGAGCTTGAATGAAGGCCTCTAAAAGGGAAAGGAGTTCATCCTTTATAGTGTCTCCAAGTCTAATTGGTCTTCAGTACATCCCCAAGATGCCTTGATTGCTCCTAAATGCTCAATCACTTCTAGACCTCCCAGGATTGCTGAAACTACAGGCATTAAATTTTAGCTTAATGTAGGTAAGAAATTGAAATGGGTCCTGTGGAGTTTAGAGTCTTATAGTTGGAAATGAAGCCCCATATTGCTATCCAATGATGTCATTTGTGGTGAAAGCTTTGAATTCTTCCCTTGTCTGAACCTAGTGTTTTGACCTAACTGTTATCAGTTCAGTCAATGCTTCAGGGGTTCACACCTTGTCGGGGAAAATTTTGGTGTTCCTCTCCTCCCAAACTGACAATAGTGGAAGCTCTTGTGTACTATTAAAAGAGCTTCCCCTTTTCCTTGGGGAGACCATACGCTGATGCATCAACTTAGTATCAAGCAAAGTAAGGAAATACGTACAGATACCAATTACTAACAGGATATTAGATTAGAATGCACATGTGAGGAAATGTCACATGGCATTTTCTTCTGTTAAGGCCTTTGTACTTATCGTACCAATTACATTTAATACAATTTTCAGTAAATAATAAAAGATTTTTTTTGACATTTTTGAGGATGGGACGGAGTCATTTTTCCTGGAAGATCCAAGGAAGATGTCTTTATCTTGGTCAAGGGTTTCAACCACAAGTTTCCTGAATTTTCAAGTTCAATTTGTAAAGCGTTTTTAGTATAATAGAATAAAGAAGAAAATGTCATTAGTTCAGTTCAATCTTTGATTTCAAATTGTATTTTAGAAGGTCCTCATGATCATGTTTTTATTTACTAATCCCACTTTTATGAAAATTTGCTATTTATCATGCAGTTTGGTTGTAACTTGCAACTTGCAAGCACCAAGCAGCTTCCAGCTAAGAGTGTCTTCAGATTGACAGATGCTAAGTCTGTGGGCAATTGTTATTTATTCTGTGTTTTTTTTTTTTTTCTGCAGATAATGTGGCAGTTAGTACATTCTTCTTGGTTACTACATGTCAGCTGCAACAAGCGTAAAGTTGCACCTATTGCTGCACTTCTATCATCTGTTTTGCATATTTCTGTGTTCTGTGATGAGAGCATGCATGAAACAGCTGATAATGCTCAAGGTCCTCTGAAGTGGGTGAGTGGTTATGTATGCTTAATTTCATCTGGGAATTATAGTTTAGGATACCAATGCTGCCATTGTTAGCATTTATTATCTCATCATTATCATCAGCCAAGCCTTATCCCAACTATATGGGGTTAGGCTTTATTGTTTGCTTCTGTACTAAAATAAGTGACTGCTTGGGAGGACTTCCTTGCAGTGGCTTCAGGCGTTGCAAGGTACGCCCCACATGGAAAGCCAGGAACCTGTGTTTGGTGAGAACCCTGGAAAGCTGAAAAACACTGTCGTTGAACTGAGAAGTTGACTTTCTGGTGAAGCTAATTTGGGTAACTCCTTGGAAGCCACTCAAGTCAATGCAGAAGTCCTCCCAAACGGGCTCTAAGCTTCAGTAGAAAGCCATGTTTTTGGCTTTCAGACATTCATTTTGGGTTCTCCATGGTTTTCAGCAAACATGGCTTTAAAACCAAAGACATGGTTTTCAAAGGAAAACCCTTAAGAACTCTATAGACACAAAAGATGCATTAAAAGTAAAACACAGACAAGCCAAAGACATGGTTGTAGTAGCAGGCATGATAAATCAATCACTACTGAAAGAGTCATTATTCCTTTCACTACTGATGGGGCTATAAAACCCTTAAGAACTTTATAGACACAAAAGATACATGTAACACTCCAACTGGATGATTAGATAGCCTAAACCCGATTGGACATAATGTTTGATTATCAAAAATAAACCTAGAATTTTTTTTTTGTATGAAATTCTTAAACTAATCATAATATCAAGAGAACATCTCTTGGACCTTGTTTGCCATACTAACTCAATTTGGATTAAAGAAAATGCTACCAATAGACTCCTCTAATTGTGCAAGAATCCCTAGTGAGCCTTTGCTCAAATGACAAGGCCAACCTTTGACTTTTGACCCGAATACATGTTATAAGCTGTCCGTAGAAACTCTGTTCTATGTGATTGCCAGATGACAACACCCTTCCAATTCTCTGATTGATATGAAATTTGAACATAGGTAGGAGACACAGAACCACCCCATTTTCAACATTCAGATAACTCCAATGGTTTGATGATGAGATTCAAGCTACAGAATAGACTTCAAATTTAGAATTGACTATTATTGAAATCCAGTCAAGCAGCCACCTTCTTTCAGTTATGTTTCTTTGACTAAATCTTGTTAATTGCATTGAATTAGGTTAACCTTATTCAAGATTGCAAATAGTCTGAGTTGTTATGATTGGCTTATGAAGGCCATGTTGATTATAGCATAACACGACTATAAACAAATCCATAGTTTTCAAGGCGTCTAGGCGATTCTGGGTGACACTGGGGCACCTAGTCGCTAGTTGCCTAGGCGATAAAAATTTTATAATATGAAAAATTGACTTTTTGCAAGCTTCCTAGTTTTATATACCATTCAGCATGTATGTTAATTGAAAAATAGCATTTCTCTTTATTAAGAACATTAAATTTCCTCTAAAACATTATTTTCAAAAATAATACTACTATAATAAGTATTTAACAGAGCAATTTCATATTAATTAGCAGCTAAAGAAGGTTATTAACTTTATATGATAAATATTCAAGATGGAAAGTAAAATAGAAAAAAAAA